TTCTTCGTTGAATGTCATCTGGAGACAAATATTTGCTTGCTCTCATTGGTAATGTTTCCTTCGGGGTCTATCTGATGCCAACCGAAGCTGTTGTCCTCGGTCTTGGTTTCCACTCACTTCATCTTCTGTCTATCCCCGGTTTCCGTGTCACTCTGTCATTCGAGTTTTTAATGTGAACCGATTTTACCCTATACACTCTGACAGTTGAGGAGTAACTTAAACTAGTTGAGAATGACTATAAATTGGACATTAACAATGAAATTCAAACTGTTATCGTGTAAATTAATTACTTCAACTTCTCCAAGTTGGTGTAAGTACTTGTGCAAAATCTTTCTTTTTTCTGATAAATATTAGTCAAACAATATTTACAACAAATACCAATAACTTAGTAATATTGGTTATCTATGAAAATTATAAATTGAAATGGCCAAAACTAGTCTAAAGAAAAGCTAAATTGAGAGAACGAGAGTCGAGAGACAAATTCGATTGAGGGCGGTAGAGTGAAACCTCAAAGTTAGTGCATTTATAAAAAATGGTGCTGGTGTAAAAAAAGTATAAACTGTAACCTGTCCCCGCTAAAATTTAAAAAGAAATGCTTCAACTTGCCCTGCATCCGCCCCGCAATTGTGTTCTCCCGCACCCATCCAGCATAGGCTTAAACTCGCATCATCCTGCACCCATACGGCTCCATTGCTATATGTGTGTTTACAACTGTGGATGAAGTGCTAATATAACTGGTTCAACCAACCCTAATATTTTTTTAGTATTATTGTTATCTATGAAAATTATAAATTTAAATGGCCAAAACTAGTCTAAAGAAAAGCTAAATTGAGAGAACGAGAGTCGAGAGACAAAGTCGATTGAGGGCGGTAGAGTGAAACTTCAAAGATAGTGAATTTATAAAAAATGGAGCTGGTATAAAAAAAGTATAAACCACAACCTGTCCCCGCCAAAATTTAAAAAGAATTGCTTTAACTTGCCCTGTAGCCGCACCGCAATTGTGTTCTCCCGCACCCATCCTGCATAGGCTTAAACCTGTATCGTCCTACACCCATACCGCTCCATTGCCGTCCCTATTTATGTTTACAGTTGTGGATGAAGTGCTAATATTACTGGTACAACCAACCCTAATATTTTTTTAGTAATATTGGTTATCTATGAAAATTATAAATTGAAATGGCCAAAAACTAGTATAAAGAAAAGCTAAATTGAGAGAATAAGAGTCGAGAGACAAAGTCGATTGAGGGTGGTAGAGTGAAACTTCAAAGTTAGTGCATTTATAAAAAATGGAGCTGGTATAAAAAAGTGGTAACCACAACCCGTCCCCGCTAAAATTTAAAAAGAATTGCTTCAACTTGCCCTGCACCCGCCTCGCAATTGTGTTCTCCCGCACCTATCCTGCATAGGCTTAAACCCGCATCGTCCTGCACCCATATTGCTCCTTTGCCATCCCTATGTGTGTTTACAGTTGTGGATGAAGTGCATATATTACTGGTTCAACCAACCCTAATATTTTTTTAGTAATATTGGTTATCTACGAAACATATAAATTGAAATGGCCAAAACTAGTCTAAAGAAAAGCTAAATTGAAGAACGAGAGTCGAGAGACAAAGTCGATTGAGGGCGATAGAGTGAAACTTCAAACTTAGTGCATTTTTATAAAATGGAGCTGGTAAAAAATTATAGACCATAACATGTCCCCGCTAAAATTTAAAAAGAATTGCTTCAACTTGCCCTTCAACCACCCCGCAATTGTGTTCTCCCGCACCCTTAAACCCGCATCGTCCTGCACCCATACCGTCCCCATTGTCGTCCCTATGTATGTTTACAGTTGTGGATGAAGTGCATATATTCGTGGTTCAACCAACTCGAATATTTTTTTTTAATAATATTGGTTATCTTTGAAAATTATAAATTGAAATGGCCAAAACTAGTCTAAAGAAAAGCTAAATTGAGAGAACGAGAGTCGAGAGACAAAGTCCATTGAGGGCGGTAGAGTGAAACTTCAAAGTTAGTGCATTTATAAAAAATGGAGCTGGTATAAAAAAGTTTAAACCATGTCCCAGTTTAAATTTAAAAAGAATTGCTTCAACTTGCCCTGCACCTGCCCCGCAATTATGTTCTCCCGCACACATCCTGCATATGCTTAAACCCGCATCGTCCTGCACCCATACCGCTCCATTGCCATCCCTATGTGTGCTTACAACTGTGGATGAATTGCATATATTACTGGTTCAACCAAACCTAACATTTTTTTTGTAATATTGGTTATCTATGAAAATTATAAATTGAAATGGCCAAAACTAGTCTAAAGAAATATTAAAGTGAGAGAACGGGAGTCGAGAGACAAAGTCAATTGAGGGCGGTAGAGCGAAACTTCAAAGTTAGTGCATTTATAAAAAAGGGAGATGGTATAAAAAAGTATAATGCACAACCTGTCCCCGTTAAAATTTTAAAAAGAATTGCTTCAACTTGCCCTGCACCCGCCCGGCAATTGTGTTCTCCCGTACCCATCCTGCATAGGCTTAAACCCGCATCGTCCTGCACCCATACCACTCCATTGCCATCCCTGTGTGTGTTTACACCTGTGAATGAAGCGCATATATTATTGGTTCAACCAAACCTAATTTTTTTTTTTTCACGGAACACAAAGATAAAGTAAAAATTATAATGACTATTAATTTTAAATTTGGAATCCCTAATTTCAAAATGTATAATAAATTCACCGTTATGAATTTTGTTGAATCCATTAAATTTAAATCTTGAGTTTTTTTTCTGTGTGTTAATGAGGTGATGAAAACAAGAACGTTGTTAGATTTGCATACTGTTTGCCGATTACTTAAGATAATGGGATATGATTAATGGAGTCTCCCAAAGAAATACTACTATCGAACAAAAAATGGTTTGGAATCTACTGTTAAGGAAAAAAAAAACAGGTGAAAATGTAATTCAGTAAATTTGTTCAGACATAAAATTGATAAAAAGATTAAAATTGTCAGAAGTGGGATTTGAACCCACGCCCTCTTACGAGGACCAGAACTTGAGTCTGGCGCCTAAGACCACTCGGCCATCCTGACTTTGTATTATGCGTCTCTTAAAGTTTATATTCACTTAATAACCAAGTATTTGGGGCATTTCCAGAAATGACCTTGTATTTATTTAGCTTGACTGGAGTAAGATCTTACATAGTCAAGTTAACCAATAGGAATTTTAGTCCACTCGATTTACTCAGAACAAGTAAGTACATGCAAGGGCATACGCAGAATTTGTTGTAAGCGGTGCCGATATTTAAAAAAAATAACGTATGCATACTTTGAAATGTATTCATACAGCCTCATATATATATACGGGGGCGGCTCAACGATATCCGGAGCCTAAAGCCAAACTTCAACAAGGGGCCCTAAGTTTTTCCATATTTAAAAACTCATTTAATAAAATATATTTTTTGAAGTTTATTTTTCTAGCTTTTTGAGATGTAAAATTTTAATAATTTATGTATAATCGATTTCTTAACTAGGATTATATATATTTCTACCTTCTAGGATTATTATTCGATTCTTTTAGGATTTCCTAATTTTCTAAAAGATCTTTGTTAAACTCTCACCAACTTCTTCTTCTTCTTCTTCTTGGATTCAATTCTCTTTCTAGCTCAATTATATTAGTGATTTGTTTATCTACCATAAATTCTTCCTATTTTTGGGGATTGTATTAAAGTTTCAATTCTTCTCTCTTTTTTTGGCATTCTTAATAGAGAAACTTTCAGAAACCACTATGTTTTAGTGGTTATTAGCTAGTTGTAGCTACCATTTACTATATTACTTCCTATAGCTATGTTTTCAGATTTTTTTAGAGTGTATTCGATGTATTCATGAATACAGTAGCATTTCTAGGCGTGAAACAGGGGATTACAGCTAGACAGAATTTTGTATTCGAGTGTATTCGACTGTATTCATGGCGTGAAACATGGGATTACAGCTGGATAGATTATTGTATTCGACTGTATTCACAGCGTGAAACAGGGGATTACACTGTTTTTAAACAGAAAGTGAATCAATTAACATAATAGACTCCTAATATAATTCAACAAACTCAATTATAACACACAAATTTTGTATTTCCAGTTATGTTGGACCTACTATTTGGAGGGTGAATATGTTATGTTGGTAAAGGGTGTATCTAGTAAATCTTTATTATGTACTCAAACATGTAGTAAGAGAACATCATCTTTGTCAAGGATGAACTAAAATTATGTTACAGAAAAAGCCATGATCCCGTTCGTGCGATTTTTTTGATATTTACCATAATCCTGCACGTCTATTTGGTCCACCAGAATATCTAAGATGTGATACTTTTAAATAATTCTTGTGATGTTCTTGTGCTGTGTTACAACTCAGAGAGCTTAGTCAATAATATGCTTGGTAAGGCAGGATGAAGCAAAATCTTAGCCAGTGCACATAGTGATATGATGCCCAATGATCACTTCATAATAGTGTGGTACATCCACCTACATTTCAATGAAGTAATGTACTTGCCATTTTTTCTCTTTTTCTTTTTTGGTAAGAGTAGGTCTAGACCAGTTCATGTGCACCTCTTTTGTTTTATTCGGGGTATCTGTTACTTTCCACTAACACGGATACCATATAACTCTGCCTACAAAAGTTTAGACTGGTGAGGAAAATGACCTCCCTCTTTTTGTCTCATCTAAAATTTAAATGTAGTTTACATCTTTAACAATTTCGTGTACTAATGAAGCAATGCTTCATTGGCAGGAAGAGTAGAACTATATTAATGATACAATATTAAGATGAGGCACATCATTCAATTCCATGACAGTGAAGATAAAGAGAAGTGGAATTAATTAGAGCCCTTGTCGCCAAAATTGTAGCAGCTGACCAAATTCCAAGAAATGGTCACGTTACTAACACATGCTAGTTACATTAATATTAAGAGACTTCTTCTCATCTTGTCTCCTTCATTTACTATATAAATGACATTGCTTTGAGTCTTATTGCCTATCACAAAGTTAAGACCAACAATGGCTACTTCTTCAAAATCAAACCACATTCGATCAATCAGTTTACCTGCAAGATCACACCCTACAACTAAAAGAGTTGAAGATGCAGTCAATAACCTCAAAACATTGAAGATATCGACTGCATCGACAGCTGAGACCATGCACGTTGGTCTACTCGGTCTAGAGGAGTTATATAAATGCATGAATGATTTGCTTAACTTACCTCAAACACTTCAGGCGCTCTCTCAATATCAACAAGGAAAATTGGTTGAAGATTTATTGGATAAATCAGTGAGGCTTCTTGATTTGTGTGGCACTATAATGGAACTCGTCTTACAATATAAAGAAAATGTAAGAAACCTTCAATCGTCTCTCAGAAGGAGAAAAACAGATTCAATAACAGAAACCAGCATGGCCAAATTCACCACCTTCAACAAGAAGATTAAGAAGGAAGCTAAGAGGTTAGTCTTGGTCTTAAAGCAAATGGATCAAGAAGCTGATGGCGGATTTGTACCAAAAGATGCAGACCAAGACACAGTAGATATGATTAAAACACTAAAGGAAGCTAATGCAATGCGCATTTCTATTTTTCAAATGTTCTTGTCTTTCTTGTCTGTTCCACTTTTGAAGCCAAGGACATCTAAATGGTCATTGGTTTCAAGTTTTGTAAACAAGGGAAGAATTGCATGTGTAGGTCAAGAAGAAAAAATGAACTTGGAAACTAGGCTGGAATCATTTGAGGCTCACCTTGACAACTTTGAAAATGGCTTGGAAGGGTTATTTAGGCGCATGAATAGATCAAGGAGCTCTCTCCTAAATATGAAATCCTGCTAATCTTGCAAATTTTGTTTCATAAACAATTGTGTAGTTATTGTTAGAAAAATATTACAAGTGAAAGATTTATCTCCAATTTTCTTCTCTCTCTCTCTTTGTGTGTGTGGTGTGTGTCTCTCTCCCTGTGCTTCTTGAGCTTCGGACCACTGGCCTCCAACTGGGACGAGTGGAAAAAAAAGGAGTATTTCATTCTTTTACTGCCTTCTTTTCTACCATTCTGATCGAATTAATTGCTCTTCTGAATGACCTAATCATAATAGTGAGATTAAAAATCGATGCTTCTTACTACCAAAAAAGGGTCATATATGATGATACTAGAATTCAATATACACAACATTTTAATAAAAATTCATCACATTTATATTTAATACGACGATAATTTCATGTTGATGTATGAAATAAAGGACAGAAATCAATAAGGATAGAAAGTGACTCTAGATACTGAGAGTTGGTCAAGTAAGACAACTCACATGAAGTGTGCAAATATTCCTCAGCTCTCTCTCGGATGCCATTAGTATCAGGAACAGAATTTGTACAAAAATATACAAAAGTATAGGATGAGTACCAAACTAATCGATGTGTACTCAGTAAGTATCCCGACCAAAATCAACAAAGTAAGGCTATTAACAAGAGAGAGACTGGCTCGGCTGGGAATATTTCAAGAAACTAACTGTGCCATATGTCGGGAGCTTGGAAACAATAGAACACCTGTATTTCGAATGCCCATTTTCAAAAGCATGTAGACAGGAAGTGTTGGTATGGATGAATATGGGGGTGCAGCAATGTGAGCTATAAGGAATCTGGAGACGAATGACTAGAAGAACAAGAGGCAAAGTATGCAGACAAATTACAATTTCGATACTGGCAGCACTGGTGTATCACATATGGAGAGTGAGGAATGGCGCCTATTGGTATCAGAAAGTACCTAGACCTCACATGATAGTTAACGCTATCAAGAAGGAATGTAAAAGGAAGATTCATGACATACTGGGTAGCAGATCAATAACACAAAACCAACGAGTATGAATAGAAAGTTGTTTATGGGAGTAATAGATTAATAGCACAATTGATATGGGGTAGTTATAGTTGATCAGTTAGGACTGTTTATGGGAGTAAGGAAGAAAAGAAGGGAATTAATTGCAAAGGTTTGTGCTGGTGATCAATAAAATCTTTTATTTTCACCCAAAAAAAATATCAACAAAGTAGTGGCGAGAGTTTAATAAAAAAAATGCTCACGTTACAAATCTATGAAATTCATCAATATAATAAACGTATAGGTAATGCACAAAAAAAACAAAAAAAATCTATGCACTAGTAAAACAGGAATAAATACAAGCAACCTTACCTATTCATATCCAAAGCATATGAAGAATTTGTCAATTACAACATATATAAAGAGATGCACAACTCAATATTTATATGTAATGCATTAATAAGAGTTTATAAATGTCTATACATGATAAAGACTCAACCTCAATAACTAACTGATACTTTTCAAGTGTCCAACAAACTTGTGCGCACACGGTCTGATGTAGCACGAGTAACCACGTGACTCCAGAGGGGCAAATCCATACCCACACGTCATATCCGAGCATTCTAGCTCAATAGTCAATCATCCGTCCACACGAACAACTTACATGCCATAATCATCTAAAATCACACGAATAACTCACGTGTCATAATCATCTCTAACCACACGGATAACACATTTGCAATAATCATCTCAAACCACAAAGATAAGTCACATGGCATAGTCATCTCAAATCATACGGATAATCCACGTGCTATAATCATCTCAAACGCATACACAACTCACGTATCATAACCACACAATCCATGGGAGAAATCCAATACGCAAGATGTAATATATATGTATAATGTATGTCTAATGACTCCAACATGTAATCCAACATACAACTAGCCTATCATATCAATTAGCATGTAAAAGATGCCTAAACATGATCTCTAGCACGAATACAATGCTCAAGTACTCATACAATCAAGCAAAACATGTGATGAATAAGGCATAAAAGGCCTATCATATTACCCCAAGCAAGGAAAAATATTGGCAGCTAAATATACACTCATCAGCTTATGTACACGTTATCCCCAAGCACGTAGCACGTAGCAACAAGATTACTTTTAGGAAAAAAAATTCCATCAAACTCAACCAAGATACTTACTTTATTTTCAAGAAAGCTTTTATCCACAAGAATACCCTTGCCTCGTTCTCAATCCACCGCACGACCTTAACTAGCCAGGGGAGTGTTCAAAGGTGTCAAACAAAGCTATAGGACTTATTTAATCAATCGAAAACTAGGGCTAACTCAAAATCAAACTCGTGCCCACATGGTCAAGCTCCAAAATGAAAGTCGAATCTCGTTGACCCATAACCCCACGTGTCACGATCCAAAATTCACTATAGATCATGATGGCGCCTAACACCGCCGTCAGGCAAGCCAACGGTAATGGATCAACTTAATTACTCATTTTAGTGTTTTGGAATAATTTTCATTAATTAAATAGCGTGAAATAGAATTTACAGGGTAGAATTATAATAATTAAATGAACTACCATGCTAAACAGCTAGTAGGAACACCCAAAACGCGGTGTCACAAGTGCATGAGCATCTATTAATGGGTACAACAATAATACAACATCCGTCCGAAATACAAGTTAGACGGCAAATATAAATGACTCTGATGGAGACTCAGTATGCTGCGGATCGTAACAAGGAAGTGCACCTCATCGTAAAGTGCCCGCAATAGCCGTGCCTCTACACCCAGAGGACCACCAGAAACATATATGTATACCTGCACAATAAGTGCAGCAAGTGCAGCATGAGTACGTAAATCAATACGTACCCAGTAAGTGCTTAGCCTAACCCCAGAGAAGTAGTGACGAGGGGTCGACATCGACACTTACTAGTAGTCCAATAAGATAGATACATTAAGAAGTAAACAGATATGGGGCTGAGTAAACAAACGAAATAAACAAGTGTAAATACAGGGTACAATCCTCCTCTCGACCGCAAACTCAAACTCTCGATTAGCAGTTACCTCCTCAACCGGAGTATCTATATATAATTGACCTCACCAGATAGATTGTCATGATTCAGATCAGGAAAATTCCCAGATACACTGGCTTCTTGACAAATATTGCGCACAATTCCATCGGAGTATTTTATAGAAATGTCGAGGCGTATGGTTCGATCCCATCTTAATCTGGTACATAACCGTAGATACATCTATTATATTGTCGAGGCGAACGGCCCGCTCCCATGAGAGTGTGATACATAATCTTGCCAAGGCGTACAGCCCGATCCCATCAATTGTGCGCACTGCCGAAGGTCGAACTGCACGAACCATAGATGCACCTATTATACTGCCAAGGCGAACGGCCCGATCCCATTAGAATAAGAAGCTTTAACGGGTCCTTGACCCCACTCACGAATAGATGTGTGAGTTATATATTTTAAGGGGAACCTTCTGATGAAAACGCATAATGCGAAAGAAATTTGTAAGGAGAGTACAATTATTCCGCGGCTAATCATGAAGCCCATCAAATCTCTAAAATAGCAAGTCTACCACTCTACGCAAGTCTAGTCTCAAGTTGTAATACGAAATAAAAGAATTAAACGAGCAAAGATAATCCCTATAATACAATTATAACATGGTGTGAACCTAAGGCTACCCGGAAAATAACATGAATCTAGATACGTACGGACTCTCGTCACCTCGTGCGTACGTAGCCCCCGCAACAAGTAGCACATATCAAATACATCACCTAGGGGGTAGTTTCCCCCTCACAGAGTTAGACAGGAGACTTACCTCGCTCCGGAGTTCCATAACCGGCTCCAATGCCTCTCTAACACCTCAAACTGTTGCCCGTCGCTCCAAAACTAGTCAAACAATGTGCAAACCAATAAAGATATACTCTAATACCAATAATTAATTAATTTATAACAATTCCCAACTCCGCTCGAAAAGTCAATAAAGTCAACCCTCAAGCCCACGTGCCTGCATTCCGAAAATTATTGAAAATAATTATTACTCATAACTTATATAGTATATATTTCGAAAATCATCCAATTTAATCCATGAATTGACCCTCAAATCAAGGATTTACCATCTCATAACTTTGGGGCTCAAAACCCCAATTTTTACAATCCAAACATGGATAAAAATAATAACCAACGAAAACAATCATGGAAAACATCAAAATAAAGTTCATATATTTACCCCCTTGCTGAGACAAGAAAAATGCCGCAAATATCACCACAAACGGAGTTCTAAAACTCAAGATATGCTCAAAATACAAGAATGCTCGGTCTGTCCATTTAATACACTGTATAGGCGATTTTTGTTCTTCCCGTTCGCGAAGAGCAATTTTTTGCGTTGAACGATCAATCAAAATTTCCTTCTTCGCGTTTGTGGGATCTCTGTTCGCGAAGAACAAAGTCCGCACCAGAAAACAGCAATCTTTCCCGACATGGAAATGGGCATAACTCTCTTATACGACCTTGGAATTCGACGATTCTTGTGCTATGGTTCCGTAATTACGAAACCGATTTAATGGTTCAATCCGATCACAAATAAAATGTTGTTTGCTCAATATAGGAACCTTTATGTCCAAAGAGACAATGTTGAAACCTCAAATAAGAGCGCGATACAACCCGAACACATCCGAAACACACCCGAGGCCCTCGGGACCCCATCCAGTTACACAACCCAGTCTCAAAACATAACACGAACTTACTCAAGGCCTCAAATCACACCAAACAACATCAAAACCATGAATCGATGATCAAATCCTTCTTTTAACTTTCAAACATTCAAACTTCGACGAACGCGTCCAGATCACACTTAAACATTCCAGAATGATGTCAAACTTTACGCACAAGTCATAAATCACAATACGAACCTATTCCAAGGCTCAAAATCCCAAACGGACATCATTAACACCAAAGTCTACTTCAAATCAAACTTAGGAATTTCTAAAACCTTCAAAATGTTAACTTTCCACAATAAGCGCCGAAATGCTCCCGGGCCACCCGATGCTCCACCCGAACTCAAAAGTAAAACCTTAGTCAATT